CCTTTAAAATTTTCGATCCGGTTTTTTTTCATTGTGTTCCTTATAAAAAAGTAGAAAATCTAGGTTCGATTTAGTTTTTTGATATCTCAAACCAATTTCGAGATATCAGTGTCCGAAAACGAGGTCCAAACAAAAATTCTTCGAATCAAATGTCCAGGATATAAGTCTTATAGGAAATTTTCTCAGGATTCCGAATCTGAAAACAAAATTCGAATCAGACTTCCGGTTCGGAAGTTATGGCGTTTTGAAAGCTCAAAAATCGCTAAATTTGGTGCCCATGTTAAGTCAATGGGAAAAAATATTTTTTTGAAGTGAAAAATACGAAATACAGACTGAGTTCAGCTAAATATAATGAAAGCTTTTAAAAGAATGGGACCTCAAAAGCCATCTAGCTTCAAAATTTGGACACCAAAATGCCTAGTTCAAAATCTAGGTCAAATTCGAACGTTTCCTTATTTTTGCTATTCTGTCACTACAGATTAATTATATTCTTCGAAATTTTGTATGCATGTAGCCAAGAGTGTGCTAATAGTGTTAGCTTTTTGCCGTCAGAAAGTAAATCGCTAAATTTGGTGCCCCATGTTATGTCAATGGGAAAAAAGATTTTTTTGAAGTGTAAAATACGAGATATAGACTAAGTACAGCTTCAAATAATGAAAGCCTATGAAAGAAGGGGACCTCAAAGGCTACCTAATTTCAAAATTTGGACACCAAAATCCCTAGGTCAAAATCTAGGTCAAATTCATAGTTTATCCTTATTTTTGCGATTCTGACACTACACTTTAATTATATTCTTCGAAATTGTGTACATAAGAAACCAAGAGTGTGCTAATAGTGTTAGCCCTTTGCCGTCAGAAAGTATTTTGACCCACTTTTGAGATATGGTGTCCGAAAAGTAGGTCAAAATAAAAAGTTCTCCAAATTTAACGTATGAGTTCTGACTTAGGGGTAGAATTTTGTCAGGAATCCGAATCTGCAAACTAAATTTCGATCCGACTTCCGGTTCGAAAGAAATGGCGTGTCCAAAAAGTAGGTCAAAATAAAAAGTTTCCAAATTTAACGTATGAGTTATGAATTAGGGGTAGAATTTTGTCAGGAATCCGAATCTGCAAACCAAATTTCGATCTGACTTCCGGTCTGGAAATTATGAAATTTCGAGAAAAATCCATCTGATGATATCCTGATAGAAAGTCAAGAAAAGCAAAGAAAATATTGAAAAATCCATCCATCATTCCTATCCTATCTGATCCTATCCTATCCTTCCTATCTGATCCTATCCTATCCTTCCTATCTGATCCTATCCTATCCTTCCTATCTATCCTTCTTTCATATTTTTTACTTCCTATCCTCCATATCCTATCCTTTCTTCCTATTCTCTCATATCCTTCTTTTCTATTCTATCCTATCGTTCCTTCCTATTCTATCCTATTCCTTCTTCCTATTCAATCCGCCTATCAACCTTTTTCTGGATGAATCAGCTTATTTTTGATGACTCAGCTTATTCTGGATGACTCGGCTTATTCTGGATGACTGGGCTTAAAAAAGTCTAGATCTGGAGTCTGAAATTGAACTCGTTCAATTTCCAAAATCTAGTTATTATTATTATTAAAATATTTTATTATAGTGTCACTAGTGTTAAAAGTATACATACAATGTCAAATACAAAGTAAACTAAAACACTACCAGCCGGTGTCGGCTTATGAGACACTTAATCTGGAACAATGTCCATTAAATAATAAATAAATATACTATTCTATAATATACAATTATTGCACTGTTCAAATATAATATCAGCATGTTTTTAGAGTAGCATTTTAAGTTGACTAGAATAAATATCTGTTGAGCAGTTGTTTTGATCATTTCAGACCCTCTCAATATTGAATTTCCTTTTTTGCCACATTTTAAATAGAGTTGAAGCCAATAAATTTTGGATGTTTTTGTCATGCATAAGACTGATCAGTGTACCCAGGCCATCATTTGAGTTAATGTTTATATGGGGGGCTGTTACTTTAACATTGTCATAAAACTCTTTCCTTATGTCCTTATAATGTTCACATTGAGTCAAAAAGTGTATCTCATCCTCAATACAATCATTATCACAGAGAATACATTTTCGTTCTTGCAGCGGTGTATTGTTCCATCTACCTGTCTCTATATTTAAGTGGAGACTTCCTGTTCGGAACTGAGCAAGTATTCTCCTGTGTTGTCTGGGCATTCTGTTTTTTAAGTACTGTTCAGTCACCACACCATATTTAAATTGACGGAATGTCCTAAGTTTGTTTCCATTTGCTTCATTATTTTTGTCATCCCATATGTTGGCTAGGAATGTGTCATTTTGATTCAGGTAATGTTTCAGTGTATTAAGAGCAAGTTTGGTTGAGATGTTTGTGCCATTTGTTATTGGGACTCCTCCTTTAACTAATAACTGCTGTGTTTTATAGTCCCCGCTAGACTTTCTCTTTGTAGACCATAAATGTATTTTGTGATTTGTCCTGGTTCTATCCATATTGTGAAGCCTCAAGTAAAGTCTAGCACACTCAATATGTTGCTTATCGAGGAGAGATGACCAACCTAGGTCTCCCCTTACTGCCTCATTGCTAGTTTTTCGGCTCACCCCCAGGAACATCTTGCCAGCTCGGTTTTGGATGTTGTTCAGAGGTCTACGTTCATGCAGACCCACAATAGAACAGCCGTAATTAATTATGGGCTGGACTAAGTTATCATACAGTTTGTTAAATACATCGTAGTCCATACCTCCAATCGCCGTGGCTTTACTGGTAATTACCCCGAGAGCTCTGCTGGCTGATTTAGCTAGTTCCTTGACAGTTATGTTGGTGTCTACATTTTCATGCAGCCATATTCCCAAGTACTTGTACCTTTCAGCATACTCAATGTTCATAGCCCCACAATGGAATACTACATTTGATCTTGGGCAAGCCTGTGGGCGATAATGTACCACTTTAGTTTTACTCTGGTTCATACTAATGCGCCATTTGTAGCACCATTCATTAGCCACATTGAGCATATGTTGTAGATTAGTTGGGGAATCTGCAATCAAGACAATGTCATCTGCATACAAGAGGACAGATACATCCATGCCCTCAATTTTGATACCACAGTTTAGATTTTTCACATCAGTTGCCAAGTCATTGATATAGATGGCGAACAGGGTCGGAGACAAAACGCAACCCTCCTTACATCCTTTCTCTATGCTGAACATTGGTGTTAAATGGCTGTTAATTCTAACTGAAGAAGATACATCTTGATAAAGGGAACTAATAGCAGAAAATATCTTGCCTTTTATGCCAATTTTGTTAAGTTTGTACCACAGACAGTCCCTGTTTACGCTACAGAACGCTTTGGTCATGTCGATATAACATGTAAATGTACTTTGTTTTCCTAGCTTTCTATTGTTAATTATTGAATACAGAGAGTGCACTTGGTCAAGACATCCACGCTCAGGTCGGAACCCATTCTGTTCATCCACCAGGAGCTTATTCAATTCAAGATATTTGGACAGTCTCTTATTAAGCGTGTCACAGTAGACTTTACATGGAATTGAAATCAATGTTATGGCTCTATAGTGTAGGGGATTTCTGTTATCGCCCTCTTTAAAAATGGGGTTTATTATCCCAACCATCCACTGATCTGGCACTATTCCATGACTAAAGCATTCAGCTATTATTTTGTGTAAAAGTAGGATACAATTGCGAGACTTTAGTACCTCTGCTGGTATACCATCAATTCCCACTGCCTTGCGTATTTTAGCACGCGCTACTGCATCTGCCACTTCCTCTAGTGATATAGGGCTATTTAACACTTCATTTGTGTAAGGGTCAGGGTTATTGTCCATGCTATTAACTTCTAGCTTAATCTGCTGCAAGTGTTCATTATCATACTTTGGGTCATTAATGTTTTCAGCATATAGGGATCCATATATTTCAGCCCAGCTATCCAGTGTTTCCTGTTGACCACTTTTGATATTACCTTCAGAGTCAATAGTCGAGTTTGGTATATCTTTTGTGCGTTCATTGGAGATTCCTATTTTTCCTATTTTCTGCCAGAAATTTCTGGAATTACTTTGATTATACAGATCTAATAGGTTTTGTTGTTCCTTAAGTTGATATGACCTTTTGCATTTCCTTAGAAGCTTATCAAAGTGTCTCCTTTCAATACAGTATGCAGCTTTCAAATGGCGACGTTGACCAGTGTCCCTGCATTTCAGCCATATAGATTCAGCTTCTTTGGATTTATTCCACTGAGTTTGAAGATCATTATTCCAATAGGGTTTTTTAAAACTTTTGGCATTTCCATATTTAGTTTTCACTTTAATAGGTTCAAATACACGCTCCATTTCTCCATTTAATACAGCAACAAATTCTCCATAGATTGTATTAATTTTTTCCTTCATTGAAGCATCTGATTCTATTTGATTAATTGCATTTTTGACTTTATTCACAAGATTAATGTCCTGTAGGAAATCTTGTGGGGGACATTTTACTTTATATTGCTTAGTGCCATTGGTAATGGGTACACTGCCAGCTTCAAACAGATTTGTAATTTTGGTAATTGGCTTGAATTTAAAAACACATTGAACTATTGAGTGATCTGGAATATGTTGAGGAACACTGAGATTAAATTGCTGAATAATGTCTGACATTTTAAGGACTTTCCAGTCACTGAAATCTGTAATTTGTTCATGAGTAGTACAGATGTAATCGACAACAGACTTTCCTTTTGTTGAAATGCATGTCCAATCGTCATGGCCTAATGTGCGACCATTGAGTGTACATATGTTTGTATCAACAAGAAAGTTCATAAAAAAGTCACCAAATGCATTATCGGTGTAGTCAATGACAGCTCTTGGGGGGATGTTATCCACACCTTCAATATAATCACTGGCGGATCCCAATCTAGAGTTGAAGTCACCAAGGATACATATGGAACCCTCATTCTGGTAGGAATACACTCCTTGTATGAGGTTATTGAAAAAAGACTGTGGGTCATTATTTCTAGTACATCTCGATAGAGGGGGTAAATAGCAGCTACATAAGTTAATTGAAATATCAGAATTCTTTGCGGATAGATTTAGCCATAGAATGTCTTGGTCAGATCTGTCAAGCACCTGGCATTCAAAGTCATTTAAAACATCATTTTTAACCAGGATACCAACACCACCTGCCCCTCGACGTGCATTAGCATGCATATTAGTTCTGTTGTTACCGAACCATGTATAGCCATCTATCTTCAAGCCTTCATCATCGCGTAGGAATGTTTCGTTTAAACTAAAAATATCAATTTCGAGGTTGGCAATTACAGCTTTCCTAAAACTAGCATTCTCATTTTCCCGTAGTGAGAAACCATTTACGTTCCAAGTTGCGAGCTTAAGCTGACACCGGCCGTCCCCCTATTGTGTATTTGTATTTAGTCGTTGGGGGTTGTTATTGCGCTGTAAAAAGCGTCCATTCCGCATGATAAAATTGTTCTCTTTCCCGACCGCTTTTAAAACTGTGTGTAGATTGTCATTGACCTTCTTCAGATCTGGCGATATAAAATCTTCAATATACACATTTTTGTAGAGATCATTCTGTTTCAGGGCTCTCTTTTTAGAGAGAATTTGAGATTTTGAGTCTTTATTTTTCACCTGGGCTACAATAATGCCTGGGTATTTAGCTCCTGTTCTTTTCGGTTTTCGAGATGTTTTCACCACCTTCATGCTAGAGTCTTTTAGCCCAAGTCCATTAGAGATCATATTATTGACCTGGTCAAGGTCACTTTCCACTGTGGACTCTTCAATGTTCTTGATTATAAAAGAATGGAATTCATTGTCTTGTGCTGCCATGGTTGTCTCTATATTGGTGATTCGGGACTTGAAGTTCTCATGAAAAGCAGTAACCTCAGCTTGAATTTCTTTATGTGAATCGTCAATTTTATGCTCAAATTCTCTTCTGAGTGAATCCACCTGTTCCGACATCTCTTTACGGATGCTAATAATCGACTCCTTTATATTGTCTTGGCCGCCTTTTAGTAGCGAGTATAACTGACTGATGGACATGTCTGGCTCAGCATTGTTTGTAGGTAAAACTTGCGATGCACTCACCGACCTGGGTGGAGGAATGAGACTGGTCATGCTACCATTACTTGCCTGGGTAGGCACGGGGCTATCCTGATGTTGCATTACAACCACATCGGGTGTGTTGAGATTCCTGGAAATAAAGCTCTCACCCTCGGCACACACCGCTGTGGGGGCGCCACGAGTAGGTCCTGACCGAGGGGGAGCTTCCCCTGGGTGAGGTCCCTCTCGTAGAGCCGCTGCCAGAGCTGCGGATGCTTTGGGCGTAACAGTCCTTTTTAATTTACTGTTTTGGGTTGCACTTATGCTGTCTTTCTGATCCTTCTTTGTCATTTTTGTTGGCCCCATTGTTCGCTCGCCAGACCGGAAGTAGCTATTTTCAGCTTTTCAACTGTCAGTTCGCTATGTTCAACGTCTCGACTACTGTCTTCTTGTTATTTTTATATCCAGTATATATTCATGTATCTTATGTTTTAATTAGATTCTTCAATATGCCCTATATCGGTAATAAAATTCACTAAAATCTAAATTTTTTTTGACAATTTTCGTAAAAACACGTATACTAAACGAGATGAAATGACAACCAGGGCAAGAAAGGATCTAGTGCGCCCTCCATTATGATCTCCCCATGAACAAAAATAAATTCATCTGATTTTTTAAAATAAATATACTGCTTTTATTATTACATTTATATGTACACTAGTATCTTGTTGACCTATATTCAGCACTGTATTGATGAATGGGCCACTTATTTGGGCCAATATTTAATCATAAAGTGTACAGGGGTAGAGAATAGAGATGCCAAACCAGGAAATCTTTTTGTGTCTCTCAAAATCCATTTGCATCCTACACATCCCTACATCTTATCCAAATATGTTATTAATTAATGAAACATAACAGTATAATCTTTGGATTTACAAAGTTGTATGGGATTTCATAAGTGTAAAAGTTGCTTTTGAAGCATTTTTCTATAGCCATTTTGGAGGAAAAAATGATGAAAAAAATGTATAATCTTTTAATTTGAAGTATAACTTGAATCAATTGCAAACTTTAGATTTGTAAGTCTGATGTGATATACCATTTGTGTCATATTGTGAAATCATTTAATTTGCAATCGATTCAGGTCATAGTGTATTTTAGGTATTTTTGTGAAAATCAATAGAAACCAATGGCCTCCATTTTAATCTGTTGGTATCCACATGTTAAGTCAATAGAACAAATCCAATGTCAAGTCAATATACCCTTGCTGAACTTAATGACCTCAACCTCAGCCCATGTGGGTCCAAACGCTTAAATATTTTCAAAAGTATTATGTGACATTGTATTCTTTATGTTACCCCTAAAAATGATTCATTTTGTTCATGGGGAAATCATAATGGAAATGTGCACTAGACGTTTTAATTGTGGTTGAATATGAAATAAAGCAAAAATAAAAAACAAAATGTTTTAATGCGACCAGATTCGAACCCAGGCCCAATGGACATGAGTCCGAAGTGCTATCCATTACACCATAGAGACATGACCTTAAGACCCAGTCACCACATAAATATAGGTCCACGTCCACTGACATGGTTTCAAACGTGTAGCTTAACAGAAAATTTTCTTAAACGTGTACTTGAGCGTGGACTTACGCATACGGGTTCACGGTTTGCATTTATATGTGTAGCTTAACCTCTCTATTGATTCTTCATTACGCTCTACAAATTACTGCAATGATCTGAGACTAATTGGAAGCTTTGTTTTCTAGTATAAGCTCTCCACAATTTGAAAATGGCCATTAATATAGATAATTAGAATAGAATAGTACTAAAAGTAACTAAAAATACTAGATTCATGATGACTCTAATTTTATTATCTTAAAAAAGAATTTTGAATTGTTTTTTGAAATATTACTACACCGACACTAAAGAGTCCTCAATATGAATCATTTTAAGGTTGAGCGTGAGAAATAAATGTAACAATATAAGCTGGCCCAATGTTTAAGTCCATCTTAAAACAATCACGTTTTGCCCATCCTTATAACAATTCTCCTCACCATCAGATATGATGAAATAGATATGACATATTTAATGTTTTCTAGAGAGAACTGAAGACTACACAGAGGAAGTCGTTAGATATGGTGAATACTACTACACAAAGATTCCCGGGCATTACCTCATTGGCTACAACACGTTGACTGTAAACAATGTCGAGATTGAGCAATGTCTCCAGCTATGTAGAAAATCTGTAACTTTTTATGGATTTGAATGTAAATCAGTTGATTACGTCTCCGCTGAGATGACTTGTATCTTGAGCGACTCAAGCAGAGATAATGATTCTGGAATGGGGAAAGATGAGAGCATTGACTATTACGAGAGTTATACTTTTGGTAAGTTTACATTCTTCATGTAAAGTTGTCATCAAATATGTTTATTTTTTTTGATTTAACAAGGCTCAGAACTCTTGGATTGAAAAAATATGGAGAAAACATAGTAGAATTATGTCAAATTTTCTGAAACTTACCTTTAAATCATTTTATAGACTCAACTCATTTTTAGATTCCAGATTGAAAATCTTTATAATTCTTTGTCACCCAATAGACTAGATGCGAGTAGCAAATAATCTTGATTTATGTCATTAAATATACAAAATCCAGTCAAAGTAATGTCATATTTGAAATCTAATATAAAAGTAAAAGTTTTGAAATGTGGTTTCAAAAGTTGTTTATTCAACTTGGAAAATTTAATTTTTTGAAAATGTGACTTCTTGTTTGGGGAAATTCCCCATAGACCCCATGTTATAAATCACAAAAAGTGAAATATCTTTTCTTGTATGAGACAGATAACATATTCTTTTACTGGACATATATAGATTTGCATAACGATGAGATACATAAGATTGATATGGAAATTGATCCATTGAAACTGATGAATATTCATGCCATGCTATCTGACCTGAATGAGCCACCTTTGGTGAAACTGGTAACTACCTACTCGCATCTAGGTTATTACATTTTGAATATTATAACTGAAAACAATTCTGACAAAAACCATCCACCACTCTGGGTTCCTAGTGTTTTTTGTGATAGAAATATCCATCAATCTGGCTTTTAATTCTAGTTGAAACACAAATATTTATGGCAGCCACTTTGTTGTAGTTCCTGATGATGGTGAAGATGATCCTAAAGATGTTCCCCATATTACACTGGAAGTCTCTGACTTAGTCACTGGCCGCCCCGTCATTGGAGTCGAAGTGAGGCTTTACAAATTTGACCAGAATGAAACAGCTGAAACTGGAGATCGAAAATATGCCTTTTTGAAACAAGTGTAAGTGTGCAGATATTATATGTAATCAGTGGCTTTACACTAATAAGAATTCATGTACATGTCCAGAAGAAAGATTTTAATTGGTACCATTTGCTCCACATAAGTTATACCAATCGACAATGCATTATAATAACCATTGTGTAAGCTTGTAAACTTAAGATTATTTAGCAGTCCTGATTTGTCCAAAAAATATACTAACAAAATCAGCTTGAAAACTTCATAGCAGTTGGTAAGCAATATAAAGTCAGCATAAATGTAGCTGGAAATATGGAATCTCATCAGTTTGTAAATAGTGGATTGAGAAAACTGGTTCACAGCTCCACCTATCATTACATAATGTGCATTGCAGTAAAAAAGTTAAAGTTTAAGTTTAAATAAGGGGCAAATTGCCTGTTAGCAAAATAAAGCCAACATTAATGTTTACAGCCCCACCTATTGTGATATATTGCACATTTTCACCCCCAAATTCACCTGTTTTAGGCTGACTGATGGGGATGGGGAGGCTGACAGCTTCTTCAGTACTGAGAGTGACTTCGAGGCTGGCATGTACCTGTTGAGAGTAGAGAGTGGTGGCTACTATAGCAATAAGAACATTGCAACTTTCTACACACACATTGATGTAAGTTACATGGCTATGCATATTAGGATGGGCCCAAAAATATGAGCCTCCTGATGTATAAATTTCCATATTTTTTAAATTACCCTGTATATTACATAATCATTCCGTTTCGTTTCATGCAAATCAATTTCAAGTCTCCACGAGGAATAGTCTGGGGAAAAATTAGTGCTTAAAATAATAATTTCAAAGGTTTAACTTGAGATGTTTAAAACAGTTGTTCCTTTGATTTCTTTAATTTAATGGTTGCAACTTAATATTATATGAGACTACATAGGAGCAAATAATTCTCGTATGTTACACCCTTGGCATCATGCAATAATATGTGACATTCGCAAAATCAATGCTATGTTCAAATATCAATATGTAATTTTCTTGCTTTGCTTGCAGGTCACATTTGAGGTGAAGAGCAACTTAAAGGCCTATGAAGTAAACATCAATCTTGCCCCATATGGCTACTCCACCACTGGGGCTATTGCAACATAGATGCCCAGCCCCAGGGGCACTCCGTTCACGTGGACATAGGGCGCCATCTTTTGGAATGATAGTCTGAGGGATATAGAAAAAGCAGATAAAGCTGGTGACTCTAGAATATGTGAACAGTTTTGCAACCTTTATTTCAACACAGTAGAAAAGTTGTTCAAATGTGACAACCAGCTCATTCATTTTCCAACATCAGTAAAACTTCCAGGGAGATCAATAAGCATTTCATGGGATACAGCTTTATCCACTTGGAGATATGAACAGGTGTGTAACTCTCTTTTATTGTGTTGAAAGTTTTGGTTTGCAACAATAAGTGTCTTCTACATCCAACACTACCCATCAACGTCTTTCAAATCACTGAGTGATACAATTTGTACATACGTTTTTAAGATAAACCATGGCTCAGGAATTAACATACTAGATTAGTACTTGTTTGGTATATTCATCCCTGACCATGGTATACATATATAAAAGTTATTGTATAAATGTTTAATCGTTTATCATTTAGTGTTCATTTTGAGCAGATTTATAGAGATTCAATTGTGTTCACAGTTCAATTTTGATAAATTGTTTTTATGTTGTACTTTTATATACATTATATAACATTATTAAAGTTTTGGTTAATTACATATTTTATAGTTCTATTGTTATCATTATTACTTTTATTAAAATTCAGTTTTTGATCCTTTCATTAGAAAAGGCAAGATAACAAAATTTATATTATATTTATACCTTTATTTACATTTAACCATAATATCACTATCAATATCAGCTGTTTACAATATCAAAATTTTATTACAAAATTGTTCACAAAATACCAGAATGTGTCCATTATTCTATGTACAGTTCTCGTTGCATGTGTGGCACAATTTAATAAAATGGCTATCAAAATAAAATAACCTGTGAATGTCACATATGATTCCTTATCTGATTGTATTGTACTTTTAATCAGTTATATTGTACTTTTATGTCACCATAACAGTGTTCCTGTGTCATATTGATGTCACCTCCATCCAAACAGATGTACAGTAAAACCTGTGTACAATGAACACCTTTGGAGCCACAAAAATGTGTTCACTGCAAGTAGGTGTTCACTAGAGAGAGATTTCATACAGAACTCGTGGAGTACTCTAGTATGTGCTGAAAAGAGGTGTTCACTAGACAAAGGTGTTCACTAAAGAGCGGTGTTCACTAAGACAGGTTTTACTGTAATAACTAGAAATCCCATTTATCAATAAATTGATATCTTTGCTTTCATAATGAAGATGACTTGATTATGTGTCAATGATATGACCATGTGTCCATGACTTGACTATGAATCGATGGGTTGATTATTTCTAATAAGTTGTCAATGAGTTGATCATGTGTCATTGTTATGACCGTGTGTCAATGACTTGACTATGTGTCCATGAGTTGATCATGTGTCCATGACTTTGCAGCAGCTTTTCCAGCTCATGTCAGCAAATATGTTGAGAACAATGTATTCAATATTAATCACCGTTTCCAAATTCGTTCATTTGTGACATCAAGCTACTTTTTGTACAGTATATAAATATGCATCAACCCATTCCTATTTATATTATCTTACAATATCCGATGGTTATGTACAAATGTTTTCTCAATTATCGTGGTGGTCCGTATGGAGGTGGCTGACCATAAGGGTTAGGATATTGTTGGGTAGGGTATTGCTGAGGTGGATAGGCAGGGGCAGCTCCTGGGTAGGCAGGGGCAGCTCCTGGGTAGGCAGGGGCAGTTCCTGGGTAACCTGTAGGGGGAGGTACCGCGCCTGAAACAAATTCATCAAAAGTAATACAAAAGTATTTATTTGTTGCTGCGTTTGTTGTATTTGGTGTTGTTATAAAGTGCAACGTGAAGCATGGCCAAATAAACTCTAAATATGTTTATATTTTGATTGTAATAGCAGTAGACTGTAAAAACACAGCTGTATATTTATAGATGTATTTATATATTCAAAACATTGTGATGAAAGCCACGTGGACTTCAATATATTCATTTGCGTTTGCGCCCTATATTACTAATGTGATTCGTTATGATATGCTCACCTGCTGGTGGGGGCATAGCTGTACCAGTTGGGTAGTTTACATTTGGGGCTGCAGGGTAGGTTGTCTGAAATGTAGGAACGTTTGAAAAATTACTGATTTTGTTGTCATGTACGTACATGTACAGTGTATATGTTATTTTTGAATTCATGGACTTTTATAAAGCCATTAGGGAACACTCAAATGCCCGATTTTAATGCACGATTGGGAAATAGGTTAGGGGATAGTTAGAAACTGAAACTGAAACGTGATACATGCGACCACTGTACTTCAATGTGTACTCACGGTAACTGTGACAGAGCCGAGGGGAGGTGGACACCCTGGTCTATAGTGGTGATGGTGTCCTGGGCCGAAATGGTGCGGATGTGCCGCATGCTCCAATGCATGTCCTCTGTGGTGGGCCTGTGTCGCTAAGTTACTTTGGTGGTTGGCTTTAGCCTGAAATAACAAACAAGAATTCTCGTATCATGCTATGTTAAAAGCCAGGTAAACCTTGACGTAACCTTTTTTCTGAAAATGTCATAGTGAAAATATTCCTCACTAAGTGCATTCATTATAAATGTACTTAGCCTAAGCACTGAGTAGACAAGTTGTATATCGAAAAAACGATTTTAAACAGCAAAAACGCATGAAAGATTTTTCATTACGAAAATGAAGGTTCATGGTCCGTAGTGAATTAAAATGATTTTAATTTATGATGAATTTTTGATGTCTCTGAAGTTTCCCATTACCTCCAATGCAGCAGCTCTCCCTATGTTCCCATGCAATGCCGCATTCATTGCTTTGGCGTGAAGGCGGTCCTCTTTCCTCTCATGGCGCATCTCTTGCTGGAAATTAAAAAATATTTTGAACATCCTTTTGGGTCAACCCTCGTATTAAAAATGTGGGAACATTCACGGGTCATTTGCTATATCCCGAGCCCATGTTTATTTTTCTGGAAATACCTTAAACATGTTAAACACATCGACGTGAATTATGCTTTCCTAAACTCTAAACTGTTATTTGTGTCAATCTTGATTATATAAGAATTTTATTTCTGATTGACAATACAAAAATATATTATGGGACGTTCACCTGGTATACTTTTTCACCAATTCATTTTCCCCATTTTGATACATTTATTTTATAAATGCACGAACCGTTGGAGGAAGTAAAACGTGATTGCCAATGTCTTTACTGTAACATTTCCTCAGGATATGACTAATAACAGAAGCGATGTAGGTTTATTGTTCATATTATCAGTATGTGAAGAGATTCAAACAATAGTGAATCATATAAATCATATATCAATATCGAATTCAATATCAATACGAAGGCCATGAACTGATAAAGTCCATGTGTTGCACTAATTGATCAAACAGGTAGCGCACTGCTTGGCAAATCAAACACTGTTAATTACAGGGTGTTCAAAAAAACGCAACCCAAAGAAATCGCTATATCTTGGAAAATTTTTATCCAATTGTGTTCATATTTTCAGGAAAGAAAGAAGATGCATAGCTCCTGTTGTTAGTTAGTTGTAAAACATGATGTCTTCTACACCTGCTCAAAAGGCAGTCGTATATGGAAAATACGAAAAACGTGAATGGAAAATCACTATATCTTCAAAAATACTAATTCAATTATGTTCATTTTTTCAGGAAAAGAAAGAAAATATTGTGTATGTATAGCTCTTGTTGATAGTAAGTTTTAAAACATGATGTCTTGGACACCTGCCCAAAAGACAGTTGTTCTAGGAAAATATGAAAAATTCAGTCAGAGGTGACTACCACTGCAATAAAACCTAACAACTTTCTAACCATAGTGTTTTGGCACTTCAGATTTGGCACAAATTATCCTCATTCAATGTGTGGTGAATTTGTGGAGTTTCATCAAAATCACTTCAGGGACTTTACAGTCATGGTCAAAATGCCTTCCGAAGTCTGCTGGAACCAGGGCGTTTGACTGAGATTTGAAAGCATTTTGACCATAACTGTAAAGTCCCTGAAGTGATTTTAATTTCACTTAACAGATTTACCATACAGTGAATGAAGATGATTTGTGCCAAATTTGAAGAGCCAAAACGCTATGGCTGGGAAGTTATTTAGTTTTTTTGCGGTTGCAGTCAGCCCTGACTGGGGTTTTCGTATTTTCCTAGTACAACTGTCTTTTCAGCAGGTGTCCAATGCATCATGTTTTACAACTAACCATCTACAGGAGCTATACAAACACAGTCTCTTCTTCCTTTCCTGAAAAAATGAACATAATTGAACAAGTATTTTTCAAGATATAGCAATTTCTTTGGGTTGCGTTTTTTTTAACACCCTGTATTTGCCTTTGAGTAAGACTATATGGTCGACGCTGGCCTTATCTGAATCGAGTATTGAACCATACTGTCTGAGTCTGCCCCCCCCCCCCACCTACTCTTCCTCGGTGATTATTTCACGAACTCTTTTAAAAAGAAAGGGCAATCGTTCCAGTCGTTCCACTTAAAATCTCGGTTTCTCGATGTCTGATGCATGAGATGTCAAGCTAAACTGTATTTTTAAAACACAATGGACAACATTTCAAAATAAGCGTAAGCTTGATATTAAAAACGACACGGCCTAAACCATTTATCATTTTAGATTAATTAACCTAAATAAACCATTACACTATGTTGTGAAATTCATGAAATCATGTGAATCATAAAATGTGTAGATTTTTATTACAACTTATACAAACACGCGGAAGTGAGTCAAGCTTCTTTACAATCATTCCAAGTACCTGGCCTACAGTTCAGAGAAATCAAGATAACGAAAGTAAAAAATTGTAAAAGAACCACACAGGTGTTCCTATTTAAGTATGTAATTTCAGTATCAGTATGTACTTTAATAGAATTAAAATATTTAACTTTTGCTGATCAAGAAATGTTTTATTCATTTTATTTCATGTCATTCGACACGTGAATGGTCTCTTGGCCTTTTTATGATAACACAATAAATCAAAATGACAATACTTAATGGTATCGAATTCAGAGATAAGACACTCTGATAATTTTTAAAGGGGAATATGGTCGGCATATTACCTTTACAAGGTAGGAGCTGATGTCTATGTACTGTAAAACCTGTATATCCGAACGCCTTTCTAGTTGGAACACCTCTCAATGTGAACGAATTTATCAATTCCATTTTTATTTAAATCTGTGACTGACTTCCGATGTTCAAAACCTTGAATTGTGAGCACTTGCCAACACGAACACATTTAGAGAGCCCCCCCCCCAGTGGTGTTCGGATGAGACAAAGAGCAAGTTTTACTGTATACGGCAAGTTTTACTGTATACGGTATAATGAGAATTACTATTAATGTGCTCTTTTAACTGAAAACACGACTTTCAATGCTTACTGAATTCCCATACGTCCGTGTAGGTGTATGTTTACAAAATAAACACAGAAGAATACTTACCCTGTGTGCTTTATTCGCCTGCCTCTCTAAATGTCTGTTATGGCAAGCCATATTTTTTTTGTAAAAGCCTTTTTTTGATTAGTACTCCCAATTGCTACGTGTTGTATAAAGCACTGTGATGCCGAACTTCGTTCTAAACCTGTGATTTATTAATACCAATATATAGATCAATTGGAGGTCAGATTATCAGAGTCACAAGATAACCATGTGACTTGTGATGTCATCGAAATTGTAATGTTACTATTAATAGTTTTATGAATGAATCAAACAATGTAAATGAAAGATTTTTGTTCAGGTCGCATTTTCAAGCATATTTGGAGCATTGTTTATGCTCAGTTGAGGAAGTACAAATGGCGAACACTGGAATCACCAACACCATTACAAAAATTCTCATAACAGAGAGCACGAATTAAGGAATTGGTAAACATAAAAAACAATAATACAATGTAACACCAGTGCAGTGGTACTTTATAACAAGTGCACATGTGCTTGTGGCTGGACATTAGGGCATTAGCATTAGCAGCCACGTTATAAATAGAGGATATCCTATGATTTTTGAGGGATACCATTTTTATCCATGAGTGGATATCGCCCATCTCCACGAGTGAGCGCAGATGGATAAAAATGATAGCCGAGAAAATCATAGGATATCATATTTATCCGATGGTCGCTATTTTTGTATGGACTTCAAATAATTTGACCTAAAGTTGTTGCTTTCTAATTCTATTCTATTTTTTCATTTTATTTTCTGTGATCTTATTTTATAAAATTATTGCATGAAAATTTTTTACTGAGCATATAAGCTTGGAACTTTTCAAAGGACAGATGGCGGTAAACCCCTCTTTTAGCCCCCCTACAAAACAAGTATATATTGACATGGAATTGAAGAGGAAGTATGACTCATTACTTAAAATGTGATTTCTGAGAGTATTGACATTTGACCTTGACACTAGGGTTGTTTAAAGGTCAACTTTGAGAGTTGCTATTTTTGTCAAAATTTTACTGTTTCTAATCCAAGAAATGAGAGCAATTGGCTTTATTTTGATTGTGACTGATAAAAAGACATGTGAATAGAAATAAAAAAAATTTTAAATAAATTATCACGGGCAATTACCTGAAAATCTTGAGAATAAATACCAATATGGGCATTTTGAGGGGGAATAAATTTTCTTGTTTCAAAAATGAATGTTCTCGTTGCCTATTGAGACTCTAACAGTATCCTAAGCATGTTTTAAGAGTTGGGATGTGATTATTATCTTAAATGCCCATGGGCAATTAGGATAAAATGACTGAAATTAAATCCACACAAGGGCAATTCAAAAAGAATGAAGTTTCTTATTTCAATTGCTTCTCGCCAGTTTTCTAAACAGATTTGCCATATTCTAAATAGTTATAGGGTCACTTTTAACAAATGCCCATTGGCATTTGGCATTTTATTTGGCATTTGAAATTAAAATGTTTGAATGTACACTTACTTTTAAAGTTATTTGCCAATTTTCGGTTCCCATATTTGAAACACAAATAATTCAGAGAAATCCTCTCTCAATATATATCATAAAATATAAGGCAGCATCATGTATGAATGGCATGACACTCAAAGGATTTTGATTAAAAACTACATGTATATAAACTTCATTAACAAGGTCATCTCAACTCAAGAGGTGTGTTACTTGCTTTGGCACAATGTGTTATTGCATTTTCACTCTTAAATAATATATAAAACCCTTTAAATATAGTTTATATAATAATAGTTTTTAGTATAAGGCTCTTCATCAGAATGCCAACATATAATTAATTTTGGATGGCTTAGTCTGTACATGCAGTTATGTAATGTACATGTATGCCCAGGTTAGCAGCCATATTGAAAACATAAACCAGTCAGGCTTATTTTCATCACAAAAGTTAAGTTTTAGTGGTGAGCCCAAACTCCCACAAAAATGATATTTGCGGAGAAGCTACTTTACAGTTTCTGCATTATACAGTTTCAATATATTTTTTGTGGGAGTGTGGGCTGACGGTTAACTTTTCAATGAAAGTGAATGAGCACCATGCTAAAACTTGATAACAAAGTGAACGAAAAATGACAATGTTTTCTAGATTTGCATAGGTAAACTACATACATCGCTTGATTTTGTCAATTTTCTTCTCCGAATACTTGTATACCATATGTTCCATATATTAAATCCTATATTGTGATAAGTTTTGATATTATTTTGATGGTAAACATATGTGTACCCATATTCAGACAGCCTTGTGATAGGGGTTCTTACTGCCAATTTTTCAAAGAAACGGAGAACTTATGCCACTTTTTGAAATTGCACATCTCAAGAAGAAAGGTTTATCTACAACTTGCAATCGGTTTTAAAAGTAAATGGAAGAATGAGTTTTTCAGAAAAAGTCTAAATGGACCAATAGTCTGTTAAATGGACCTGTTCTTTTTCCAAATATTTTTTCATTTTTTTATTCCTATAATTTTATTTTCAATTTTTTTCAGATTAATTTTCAATTTTTTTTTAAAAAAATTTTAAAAAGTTTTTTCAATTTTTTTTTCAAAATTTAAAATTTTTCAAATATTTTTTTTCAAAATACTGGATATCACGTCATATGGATCGGATACGATTTTAGTGGCGTATACGAAAATTATCTTGTGTTGGTATCCCCATATATATTTAGTATCCATCGGATAAAGAAAGATACACTCTTCCTGTTAATTATATATAAACAAGTTTGAAATTCCTACCGAAGGTCCAATGTTCTCAAATGAGATGTGAAACGCAATTAAGCTTGTACAGTTAAACTTGTCTCATCTGAACATCACTGAAACTGGCCAAGAGTTCGGTTTAGGAGATGTTCATATTATATCTCATGGTTTTAAACTTGGGGATCAATGGGAGTTATAAAGTTGAATATTTGAATGACTTTGAATTAAGCGACTCGACTTGGAATAAAGATACTCTACTAATGTTTGTATGTATGGATTTCACTAGTGTCTCTCAATGTAAGCTTAAAGGTGCAACAATTAGTGCAGGGGGGGGGCATTCAACGATCATCGACCAGTGTCAAAATATATTTAAGTTTGGATATTTCATCAAGACTAACATATATTTTTATTATCTACAAAGAAACCACCTGGATGAACATTATTTCAGCTGATATTCCTCTTGAAACGTGGGGAATCTTAAAAATCTATAAGTGGGACTCCCTTTATAGAAGCTTTGTACTGAATTTGCACTTCTTAATGCTGAAATTGATAGTTTATCCATATATTTTAAGAAAATAGGTATGTCAAAGAAGATGTCAAGCCAAATATTGACCTGATAGCTCAGAAAAAATTAGAAAATCGAATTTTCTCTCTACAGTCCTTGTTGCCCCTTTAATAACCGTTTTTCGTCGGAGATCGGTGTTTTATATAACTTTGGAAAGTTATAGTATATTATACACCCTCCTAAGCAGGTGTCCAGAATCCGTATTCTGGATTTTAAAGCCCTGTGATCGGAGGATGTGTATTATAATGGTTGCATACTTTAAACGTTATACAATATTGTATCATCATCAATCATCATATTGAAACCCACATCGATCTTTTCCGATTGAATTCTCTCATCTTTGTGAACCTCAGTCATACGTTATAATGAATTTCTTTCAAATATTTCCAATATTTTCATAAGTATTTATATTCTGAAAATATGCCATTGTAATATTCTATTATCAAACATGGTAGTCAACGATCAATGCTAATCTCTTAATGGTTTGGGCGAAATTGAAGAATTGAGTAAGTCCCTAAAATAATATAGTTGCATACTGTTGCTAAAGGACGTGTTGTGATCGGGAAAACGTAAAATAAAATAAATATTGTCATCGAGGATGGTAGCAAAACAACGCGTTTAAATGATGTACGATGAATCCAGTTCAACCAAAACATAGACAAACGTCTCAACGATATCTGGGAATAACTAGACGTAGCTTACCAAGTCCGTAACTGTTATCTGATCAATTGAATCATCAAATAAGTAAGTAATGCTGGTAATCTATTAATTTTATTAATCTTTTTTTGTAAACTATACATGTATGTTGGGCGGGATGTTGGGGCAGTTATTAAAGTGAAGTCTGGTACACTGATCGAGGAAATCAAAGAAACAAAAAGTGGTTCATGTTTGGAGCAATTTATTCAAAAACTAAGATGTTTCTTGAAATAAAATGTTTTTTCTGAAATATCTGGTCAAATTAACTTCTGTATTTGAGATTTGAGTGTTTACGATTCAAGATGCAGAAATATCCGAATTCATTTTTCAACTCCTTTTAAAAATAAATGATCTGTGTGACGAGCTGGTATTTTGCATGTATACTTTATATTTGAGCTCTTATCTGTTGTATGACTGCATATTACATCTATTACATTGGGTATATATTCTTGGAATAATTCCGTGACCAGATAAATCAAGAAGAATCTTACATTACTTTATTGATGCTGTAAATATGTGGTTAAAAGTGTCTTATTCCGTAAATTATTCAGCTCAAACATGATATATGCAATCATCATAAGGTGTTTATGTCTTTGTTAAATAAGTTAGTAGGCCTTGGGATGATGAATTGATTGCAAACACGGAGTATCCTCATCATATACTTTGATTTACCATAGCAACGCTTATGTGTAGCTAGTTTGTGCATGTTTCAAAAAGCAGATATCCAGGCAAACACCATGGCATTTAAAGGACACTTTGCTCTTACTCGTCTTGAGAATATGAACATCGAGAAAAGAAAGGCTCAAACATATAGAGAAATGATGCTTGAGTTGGTACGTTTATGATTGAGCGGATTTCAAAATGAACAACCAAAATGACGTGAACCAAAAATACATCACCGATGTTGTTACCTTTGCATTAGATAAGTATTTTACATGTCTCACATCAAAAATATTAATTAAAGTATTCTTAACATTTTTCAGGAGCATCCCATTTCGACATTGAATATTAAAATGGTTGACAGCGCCAACAAAACAGGGAACGCGGCCAATAAGGGCAGTGCTGCAGCGTTCGAGTTTATGTACTCTCCGACCAGAGCTAAGCTGTTGTATTGGAAACACGCTGATCTCGATAGTAAATGTGAACGGCAGAAACAAATTCTTGACTGGGAGATGAACACAGTGGTTAAAGGTTTGGATACAAGTAGAACCATAATGGTGAGAAGGAAAGATCGGTTAGATGAACGACTCGATGCAATATTCCAGGAGAAAGTATTGAGACAGGTCCTGGCTTTGAATAAAGATGGGAAGACAAAGCAAAAGAACCTTTATAGACCGAACACAACACAACTTGAAACTTCTGGACCTCATGAAGTCCAGTCACCAATCAGTTCACAAGAACCCCTGGAAACCAATGAAACTGATGAAGGAACCGATGTTAACGAAGGCCCTGATGTATTGAGTATTGTTAAGAAAAATAACTTGCCTGATTTGAACACAAATACACTTGAACAACCCCTTCCTAAATCTGCCCCAAGTCGGAAATCAGCCATTAGTCAAAGATCCCCCACAAGTCGGCAAACTCCTGCACGTAAAAAATCGGTGACTCTACAGGACGAATATGAACAAGACATGCGGAAGAATGACAGACAATCGATCGAAGTAGTCAATCTTGATAATACATTAATCACGAAAACGGTTCCGATTAAACACACTGAACATGGGGAACGAGACAGTTATCCGCCCAGCGATTCAAAATTTAAACCAAGACCACATACAGTCCCTGATAGGCTTACGCAACTAAGCAAACGTGACGAAGACCTCGAGTCAAGGGTAAAAGGATTTATTGAAAGAGTCAACCAATTCAAAAAGGAAGAAGATCCTTTGGAAGCCATGCTCCGAAAACAGGGGGGCAATTACAACGGTTACAACGGACAAGATTTCTCAAAGCAAAATACTACAATCGAAGGCAAATTATCAAACAAAGGTCGACCAACAAGTAGAACACGTAGATCACAGTCGTTACAAGAAACTTCTGGAAAAAAATTACCGCTGATGGAGCTACCGTCGCTTTATAGTACTAAAACCCCTGGCAGGAGAAAGACCATGTGTCAGGTTGATGATATTCAGCTCCGCGAAGCATGGGAAAAATTTTCATTGAACGCTGATTTAGAAAGCAGACAAAAGATGGCAGCTCTTACAGCAAAATTAAAATTTAAAGCACAAAAAGAGCGTGATAAGTCAATGGTGCCATCTATTGGAGCCCTAAGAGCGTCAAAACTATGGAAAGCCAAAGCAGAAGAAGCAATCAAAAAGCGACAAGAAGATCGGCAGAAAATGTTGGATTTTCGGGATCCCGAAGCGAACATAAAACAGCTTAAGGGGATGTTAAGAGCAAAAAATAATTTTAAAAAATCTAAAGATGATACGGGAATGAGTCGTAATACTGAAACTAAAGATGATGCCATAGAACAAGAAACGTCAAGTAAAGAACCTCTTCAAGAGGCAGTTAAAGTGGACAATGGATCTCATTTGATAGACATTGCTTTGATACAATTGCAAAAACCAAATGCAATTGTTATGAAACACGACAAGGACCCGCAAAATGTTGCGGAGTGATACATGACGAATATGAATAATGAATTGCCAGTGAAGAACTATCATTAATATACCTTCCTGTGCTCTATGTTGTCGAACTCGACCTTCCTAGAACAAAGGGGATGCACTTTAGTTGGAAAAGGTCCGTTCTTCAGTCTCAAATATGCATCAGGATGAGGATGAATTTCGTAAAGAAAAACAAATCTCACCTTGCTTGCTAATTATAAGTGAAACTGGAAACTGTAATTCAATTATTGAACAGCCGGTCAATTGTTAAAAATCTTAATTTGATTTTGTAAAAGTTCGTTCGTTCGTTAATTTTATTAATATAATAGTATGATCAATCAATTTAAATCCATACAGTATTATCCAATCGGCAATGCTTTGTAGATTTCAAAAGTCGAGACATCCCATGACAATCTGGAAAAACAAAAGAAACATCGTTTCATTGTATCGCATTGTATGCTACATTGACCGATCGGAATACGACAAATTCATGAGATTCTGGCAATGATCGATAACGATATGCATACCTCTTGCCCCACGGTCGCTCTATTGAGTCCTACAGTAGAAGCAATGACAGTCGAGATCATGGTTGTGCTCGTGGACGCATTTCTGACCTTCAGCGCACTCTGTGTCATTTAAACAATTCTGCCCCGCAGTGCAATCACGTTCATTACAGTAGCCATCTTGACGTTTACTGAAATATACACTTTATGGGTCGGGTTCAACTCAAAAATTCCATGGTTTGTTTGTTTGTTTGTGTCTTTTGTCTTTATTTCCTCCATAAATATGAAGAGTTAAACAAATTATAGTTAAACCTATCTAATTATCTATAAACATTTAGGTTCAGTTGAACCGGCTTGAACCGATTTCTGATTTTGATATACCATTGGAAAGATGTTTTACTAACCTTCGTCCAGATGCCACTAAGGCAAAGCATAATGCAAAAAGAGTTAATAAAACAACTGCCTTCATTTTCAATACCTGAATGACATCTCACATCCAAACTAAGTTTATATTAAGAATAACACGTTTTTAGTTTTGAGAAATTCTCACGAAATGCCATAGTTGGATCACGTTTGACATGATTAAAGCTCATTAAGTATAAATTATTAGTACACCAAAGGTGTGTGATGATAAAGGTTCTGTGTGTGTAGAGTGTTGGTCATAAACAATGTCATCTACCCTCCGCACACACTGCAGCCATACACAACGTGCTGCTGCACTGTGTGATAAACGAGTAACCAAGAGGCCTCCAGACAAACACGAATCAACATGAGGAAATGTGATGGGAGAAACTCAATCAAACAAATTTTGTACTCCATTACCAGGTGATCGAGTCTCACCGTTATCTTGAATTGATGCAAATATTGCAACGACCCCCTTTTGAAGAGGAAACGCCAAAAAGATTTACGAATGCAAAAAATAAAATGTTTCTAGACTCTCAATGTGACCAACGCAAATCTTTTGAATTAAAGGGTTTTAGTAAGAAAATTAAGAAAAACATTGAAGGCGTGTCTTGAATCTAAAAAGTCTAGTGGTCAAATAAATAGGTTAAGCAAGGCGATTTATTATGACATGAACCGCCAACGTAAACCTATACGTTCCCGTTTACGTTCCATGAACAAAAGTGCTTTAAGCTGAGCAAACATTACAAATCTAATCGTTGTAGAACAAACTGGGCTGATATAAATGACCACCTGAACTAAGGTTTTAATACACCATTGGAAAGCTGAAAGGGTCAGTTTTTTAAGAATTTGAACCAAGATAGGCTGAGATAGGGGTCATTAAGTGCAATGGCCCCGGCATTATGCTACAAAATGCTTCAGAATTTTTGTTTTCGGTCGAATCGAGATTTGATATTTGAAAATAGTCTGTCGTTCCAAGACATCCTGGGGAAAGCTGAAAGGGTCAGCTTTGAGAATCTGACCTTCATATTTGAAAATAATATGTACTTTAATGTGTAATTTAAGCATTTAGGAATGTACATTACAAATTACTAATTTTCTCCTGAGAATATAAAATTGTATCAAGTGTGTATTGACTTAATATGAGAATGTGCACCTTTGACTAATAAGGTATCATCATATCCATTTGACCTTAATATTATCTTTTGAAAAGTTTACTTATCAATAATATAGTTAATTCCAAATAAAAGGAGCACTATACATACTATACACTACGTACACATAAAGGCTAGTGGAATCCAAGCCAAATATTTGACCTCCATTGTTACACTCAGACAGCATCTTTTTATTTTACTCTAATGTAGAATTCCATCTCAAAAATGCCTAATGTCTAATATGGAATGATTCCAATTAATAGTTTTTTAGACATAACAGTCCATATAGGCATTCTAAAACCATATATTTCAACATACACCCTCCCACTCAAATAAACTAAGGACTGAGAATCAAAGTCACAAAACATAGCACTAGATCACTAAGCATAGAGATTTTTTATTGAATTAGAAGATGAACTTTAGGAACATACAAAATCTCAACTATATAAGTCCCAACAAGACACGGACCACTGCCAGATTCCTCATGTTGGTATTTTGCCTCAATTAATTTACTCGAAGGGTCGGACATAAAATCTTCGGAAATTTTTTATTTCCTTGATTCTGGAGTCAGATTATCAATAAATATAACATGTCATACCTCAAACGACGTACCCTTTCCACAACCTGTGAGTCTGTGACCATTATATGTATATGTATTCAAATGTATTTAAATGCGGCTATTAATTTTTAATCACAGCCGCTACTTGTATTTGTATTTTGAACCGATCGTTTTAAATGAATAAAACTGAGTGAATAAATAGAAAAACATTGTTTACTATAGTTTCTCAAATTTATGGCTGCCATGATAGCATGCGTCCAAGGTTGGATAAGGTAAAACATATTGCCAAGTCTTACTGAAGTAACTTTATTGCAAATACGTAGCATACCAAACGATAAAAGAACATAAGAATTTGAAACTTTAACCTTTTTTATTATTTTTTTGCACCAACATGCATTTGTTTTTTCGTTTAGTTAAGAACATATAAATTATTAACACAAAACATGAGCTCAAACAACCTGGACACTGTCCAGATAATCTACTCTGTTAAAGTTAAGGTCAAGCCCGAGCTCAATAAGTAAAATAAGTAAACAAGTATGGCGGTCCTATTAGCAATAGGTGCAATCGTTGTGCTGATGATTGCTGGGTATTTGGTGCTGAGACCCAGGCCTAACTTGCCCCCAGGACTTCCAGCACTCCCTGTGATAGGAAGCCTTCCTTGGCTAGACAGCAAGGATCCACTTGGACAACTCGTTAAGGTGCACAGACAATATGGCGATATCGTCACCATCCACTTGGGCATGAAACCGTGTGTCTATCTTAACAGTTATGATGTCAACAAAGAAGCTCTTGTCACACAGAAGAAAAACTTTTCTGACAGACCTGACATGTTCATCTTAGAAACAATGGGGACTACAAATAAAGGTAATTTTGCATTGCGTTTCTCCATGTGTTTTCTCTTGGAGAATGGCTTCAGAAACTTTCAAGGAACTCAAATCACAACAAAATATTCGGCAAGTATTTACTAGTTCGTGAGTTCCGGTGTGAAAGAAATGATGGTCCCCCAGGGATTATGGTCCCCTTTCTTAACGGCCCTTACTGGCCCTGATTGCGTATAAGATAATGAGGGAAATAGTTGTATTTAGGTCACCATATAAATCAATGGAGAGTAGGACCATAATTTGATAAGACCTCCTACCCTTTTACACCGGTTTCAAAATTTTCAAAACTTAGAAATTAATTCTGCCACTGCTGGGATATTCCCAAATCAACTCCCTCGATTAGAAAACGAGGAAAGGAGTGGTATCGATATGGAGAACATTTTGAACACACGTTTCTCTTAAACCAGTCATAAAAAATTCTAAAAATTTAACACATCGTCAATTTAATGGTCATCTTTTGAATGGTAACAATATAATTTGAAAAAATATATATATACTTTCATTTATATTGTTTTAGAAAACACATTAAACACTTGTTTTGTTCTTGGTATCAACATGTTTAGGTCTCTCAATATTGTAGTTGTACAAAGGAAATTTTGGTTGATTTTAAAAAAGTATCTTGTTAATGAAATAAAAGGTTTATCTTGATTTTTATCTATTTTGGGGGGATTTTGTTTTAATTTTTTGAATACTTTTTTAAAATCAACCAAAAATTCCTTTGTATAACTATAACATTGAGAGGTCCAAAAACATGTTGTATATGCTATTTTGTTCCAAAAAGGTTCGGAAAGACATTTCATTTCATTCTCAAGAATTGGTAGAAAGGAGCAAAAACAATTGCACTAAAAAAACAAAAATGTTAACTAAAACAGTAATATAAAATATTTCTAAATAATTTTCGCATTAAATTGTTGTCAATCAGTCAACATTACATGACCGTGTCTTTACAGAATGTTTTCAATGATTGGTTTAAGAGAAAAACATTGTTGAATTCAGTTCTCCATATCGATACCCCTCCTTTTTCTAATGAAATGTATTTTCCTGGTTTCTTTGAGAAAGTTAAAATTGCAGTATAAGTTCGGCTGAAAACTTATACCGAAAACTCTCTAATAACGTCATTTCTGCGGGCAATATTGTGAAATATTGAATCTTGGGCCTTCGGTCCTTTATTCGAATTGTACTATTATACTTCATGAGACGTCGAGTATCCCAGTTGAATTAGGTGTTCGGATAGTCCAGGCTACGAGTGTCCGTCTCCAGGTGGTATCAAGAAATATCAGGTTTTGTGACGGTGTTTTCTGATACATCGAGTATTTTTTCAGGATACTTCCGTTAACGTTCCATATTCACATAATATACGGGGCAAACTAAATGATCAATACTTTTTCGGAGCGTTATACATTTTTATTTCATCCTTTTACATTTACCTTTCTAGGGGAACCAGGGTTCACATGCTCCAATGGTCACATCCAAACAGAAACCAGAAGCTTCATTAATAAATCTCTTATACAGGTAGGTCAAAGTCAACACTTTTTGCTATTTATTTTTCAAACGGTTTCTTATACATTCACCCCTAACCATAGACGACGTACAGTGACAAAATATACCGTTTTACACTTTCGATGTACGGTGTCACTATAAAGGGACAACAAGGCCTTTAGAGAGAAAATAGGGAAATTTTTACTTTTTCTGAACTATCAGGGCAACATTTGGCTTAAAATCTTCTTTGACATACCCATTTTCTTAAAATGAATAGATAAACTATCAATTTTAGCATTAAGAAGTGTAAATTCAGTTCAAAGCTTCTATAAAGGTAGTCCCACTTATAGATTTCTAGGATCCACCACGTTGAAGAGGAATATTAGCTGAAATAATGTTCATTTCTGGGGGTTTCTTTGGAAATAATAAAAATATATGTTAGTCTTGATGAACTAACCAAACTTAAATGTATTTTGACGTTGGCTGGAACCTCTCCACTACTTGTTGCACCTTTAACTGATTTGAAGCAAAAACTATGATGTAGGTTTGATATAGCTTTTAAAAAACTTCTCATAAAAATATTTGACACTCTTAGGCGACAGGGGAAAAATGATTAAAGGAAATCTTTTAACGTAATCAGAAAGCACTCGTAAGCACTCGTCACTGTACGTTGTCGATGGTTAGGCGTGAAATTATCGACTATTTCGGTTAGACACATGAGACAAGAGGTCAGACAAACGGATTTTCTTCATATATGATAGACTCCACACTCCCCTACAATAGCAACCGGAAACTCTCTTTTAGTATGCTATCCAAGGAAAACTTCCGGTTGACAACTTTCTGGAGGGGAGTGTATTCCATATGAACTTCCGGGTGCCAACTTTCTGGAGGGGAGTGTATTCCATAAGAACTTCCGGTTGCCAACTTTCTGGAGGGGAGTGTATTCCATATGAGCTTCCGGTTGACAACCTTTTGAGGGGGTGTATTCCATATGAACTTCCGGGTGCCAACTTTCTGGAGGGGAGTGTATTCCATAAGAACTTCCGGTTAACTTTCTGGAGGGGAGTGTATTCCATATGAACTTCCGGTTGCCAACTTTCTGGAGGGAAGTGTATTCCATATGAGCTTCCGGTTGACAACCTTTTGAGGGGGTGTATTCCATATGAACTTCCGGGTGCCAACTTTCTGGAGGGGAGTGTATTCCATAAGAACTTCCGGTTAACTTTCTGGAGGGGAGTGTATTCCATATGAACTTCCGGTTGCCAACTTTCTGGAGGGGAGTGTATTCCATATGAGCTTCCGGTTGACAACCTTTTGAGGGGGTGTATTCCATATGAACTTCCGGGTGCCAACTTTCTGGAGGGGAGTGTATTCCATAAGAACTTCCGGTTAACTTTCTGGAGGGGAGTGTATTCCATATGAACTTCCGGTTGCCAACTTTCTGGAGGGAAGTGTATTCCATATGAGCTTCCGGTTGACAACTTTCTGGAGGGGAGTGTATTCCATATGAACTTCCGGTTGACAACTTTCTGGAGGGAAGTGTATTCCATATGAGCTTCCGGTTGACAACCTTTTGAGGGGGTGTATTCCATATGAACTTCCGGTTGACAACTTTCTGGAGGGGAGTGTATTCCATATGAACTTCCGGTTGCCAACTTTCTGGAGGGGAGTGTATTCCATATGAGCTTCCGGTTGACAACCTTTTGAGGGGGTGTTTTCCATATGAACTTCCGGTTGACAACCTTTTGAGGGGGTGTATTCCATATGAATTGACATACTGTACATTTTTATTACTATGAGTGATACAAGTTCGTATAATTAACGTTCGTCGATCAATGCCTATTTCTCAAAAATGACAAAAAGGTTACTCAAAATAGCGCCCATGAGCGTTATTAAAGAGTGAAAACAAAATTAGCCTTAAATCAGCCTTCCAATTAAATGTTAAGTGCGCTGTCATTTTTTATCGACAAGAAGTACTCTATAAACCATTTAAAGGGTAGTACTCATCATTATGACGGGGAAATTAACCATTTGTGTATTTACAGCACTTTCAAATGGGAACAATCAAATTTGAAAATAAAATTATTGAAGAAATTCTAGTCCTTCTGGATGAATTGGATGAACATACTTCGAAATATGGCCCTGATGCTAACAGTGGTGACGCATACGCAGAGAATGGACAAACTGACGAGGGGATTGATTTGTTGATGCCTTTGACAAAGTGCACGGCTAATATCATTAACAAGATTCTAATAGGACAGAGATTTGATTATGATGATGAAATGTTCATGGAGAGAGTAAAACGTAATTACAGGAACTTATATACTAGTATTATTTCCAAGTATGCATGTAAATTATAGAGCGCAGTAATTACTGTACATAGTATCACAGGCTGGTATCGAAAGATTTGTCCGCTGTGACGGAGCATGCTATTTTTCATAAAAACACTAAGAATGCTTCACGATTTATTTTTTAACTCATATGTTTCGTTATATTAAAGATAATTACTTACCCCATGCAATGGATATATCATTTGCGTGTAACATTCACTTCTGTTTGAAGTCCAATAACGCTAGGAGTAAAATCTATTGAAAACGGCGCCAGAGTATCAAACTCTAAAATGTACCATTTATTTTTTATCTTTTTAATGGCATGATATAGTGACACGATAATATTAACATATGTTTTCAGCATAACTCTGAATGTATTAATGAGATATTAATGCATTGGGTCTTTTTAATCATTTTATAAAAAATAATATTAATATTTTTTGTCCGCTGTGACGGAGCATTTTCACAGTTCATATTTGCAACTGCTCCGTCACAGCGGACAAAAAAATTAAACATTAATTTTTATAAAAGAATTAAAAAGACAAAATACATCAACATCTCATTTATACCTTCATAGTTATGCTGAAACCATGTGTAAATATTATTGTGTCACTTTATCGTGCCATTAGAAAGTTAAACAAGAAATGGTACATTTTGAAGTATGATACTCCGGTGCCATTTTCAATAGCTTTTCTTCCCAGCGTAATTGGACTTCAAACAGAAGTGAAAGCTACCCGCAAATGATATATCCATTGCATGGAGTAAGTAATTTTGTATGGTATAACGAAACATATGAGTTAAAAAATAAATCGTGAAGTATTCTTAATGTTTTTATGAAAAATAGCATGCTCCGTCACAGCGGACAAATATTTCGATACCAGCCTGTGAGTATAAGTGACTCGATCAACATGTTGGACTATACCTGTCTCCATACATGAATATGTAAAAGGTTCATGTGCAGTATGGCAAGTGATTTTAGACAGTCATATCTTTCACCATGTGTACTTTCTGGCCATCAATACAGTGGTTTTTATTAAAACAATATATTTTCTTTCAAGTGAAGTCCCCATGATAGTAAAATTTCATTCTAACTCTGAAAAATTATGGATTAAGTTTCTTCTACACTATTTTAATGATTTCTGAAAACGGAACTTGCGTATTGAAATCCGTTAAAGTTAAAAACCACATATCCCATGTTATTTTCCCAAAGGGAAAAATCGTGCTATCCATTGTTTTCAGCATAATTTTGGTCATCGAAAATTGATATCTTCAAAACTTTCAATACCATTCTACTTTTGAAGAAGTTTTAGACCTCTTGTTGAATAATCTTTTCATGCAATAAAATCCAGAAAAAGAAGATCCTCTTTTGAGTAAATAGGTTCAACATTTTGAAAAAAATGTTGACATGTTGACAAATTTTCGAATTGTTCGAATGATATTTTTATCATCATGGGTACTTTACTTGAAAGAAAACATATTGTTTTAATAAAAAACACTGTATTTATGCCCTGAAAGTATTCATGGTTCAATATATGACTGTCTAAAATCACTTGCCATACTGCACATGAACCTTAACGTGCTTTTGGATGAAGAAATGAAATTATGAAATTATGTCCTGTGCAAAAATTATATTTTTTAATTTCGAGGTGCAAAAACAGTCGTCGCATAAAAATTGTTGTGGGAAGTGACAATTTCTAGATAATCAAATTCACTCAAAAATTCTTATATACTTTTGATTTAAAAGGAAAGTGTCAGAAATGATTTTCTGTTTTAGTTTTTGAACAAGATATGCTATTTGTTCAGAAGGCCCAGATTCTGAACATATATCCATCGTTGCGCTTCCTTCCCATTGATGTCTTTGGCTTACAAGATTTTAAGCAGCACCAATTGCAAAACGAACGATTTTGGGAGAAATTGATTAATGAAAATAAGGAAAAGGATAGTCTTATGAAACTGTGGATTCAGAAAACAAAAGAAAATTCCGGGAGTGACGTTTTCAACAGTAAGATACATGTTTAAACATATATTTTCAGAAAAAAATATTTTTACAAATAGTATTCATTATTTAACTTCTATCTATGATGTATTTTAGGTTACTTTTAAAGTATAACAGTATCAGTCACCGTATTGAGGGTTCCATACTCGTATTGTTCGTCCGGGGAAAATAAATTCAAAATATAGAGCAAAGCTTACTAATCGAAACATTCATAACTTCGATCGGCCTATATTCAGCTTAATAGTCATGCCTGAATACGAGGTTTCTTATCAAATGCTCTCATTTTTGTTTTGTTTTGGCCGTAAGATGACATAAATCATGTATTAATTGATTAAAATTTACACAAAATATAGAGTTTATGTATTCGAAATCAGGGAGAGTGGAGCAACTGTTTCACTTTCTGTATTAAGGTTGATTTGATACGTATATATGTAAGGGGCATATGAAGACTCATTACATGCCGTAGTGCCTTCAAAATAATTTCTTCCGAATGAAATACACTTCCTGCATCTACCTGTCTACTGACATGATATTTCAATACATGAAGGAGCTATGTCATTAGAATCAGGTATTTTGTTGAGTTGCTTTTAAAGTCTTCGATTATTGATTTCTTGTCGTCAACGCTCAATCCACGGAGAGGCTTTATTGTCTCATGAAACAAATAGTAACCACATGATGCAAGCATGTCACTCATGAACATATTCACGAGACACGACCCATTTAAATACATTCTGTATTTTCTGTAGTGTATGCGTATTTTACACAAAATTGAATGTCTATACGCTGTTTTACTCTTATAAGTAGATTGTTTCACTCATTTTAGAAATTAGCCATGAACAAATTTGCTGAATTGAATCCGGCGAACAAAGAACTTTGTTGATGACCCTCCTACACCGATTTCTTTTTGAATTGACAAATTGATTTCAAGGAAAGTTGCTACTGGAGCTTACATCCTCATGATGAAGTGTTACAGTGTCCATTGCATTTTTAAAAATGCCCTGCCTGGGTTGCAATAAGCAAACATGGAATCATGTCTTGCTATCACAAGGACAAGCAGACCGTTATATTCAAATTCTTATAAGCTTTGGAGATCGCTATGCACCAGAAGGGGTATTCAAAGAGATAGGCAATGGTTTCAACAAGACGGTGCCATCTCTTCGACACTGCAAATGATTTGCTGGAATGGCTTGAGCAATATGCTTTAGTAGTCAGCTCATCAGTCGCAGAGGCAAAAGATATGGGCAGCTCAGTCACTAGTTCAACAAGTTAAACCCAATACCACGGCTTTCATTTATAATCTGAGTGTTCTTGTTGCCGTGGTTGGGTTTAACTTCCGTGCTATGCTTTCATTGGTTGCAAATTCTCACAATCAGTTATAAATAAAACGCGCATAGAATTCAATGCGCTGCCATAGGCCATCATTAAAATATTTTGCATCAAGGGCCGAATAGGCACGGATGTTAAACCTAGGGCGGGCCACAAGAAATGTCAGATAAGAAATAAGGCCCAGACTAGGTTTAACTTGTTGAACTACTCAGTTACAAGATCCCCCAGATTTTTATCCGTGGGGATATCTCAATGTGTATGCTTACTGACCTTGGGTGGGCAATAACTACCCAAATTCGTGGCATCCATGTTGGTATTGGTAGGAGGGTCATCAACAACTTCGTTCGCCGCATTTAATTGTGCACAAAGGCTCACTTGGAGCATGTTTTGTAAAGAATTGTATTTCTTGACTCAATAGGTAAATTATCATCAAAATTCACACTAAATAGGCCAAATAATTTTCGGATTTCAAAGCAGAATATGCAAAATGACTGAGTTATTCAACTTTTCTTCAGTCCTGTTTTTGGACACCCTGTACAAATATGTATGTCAGGTATGTGACTGCTTTAAGAGATAAGAGGATCAGTCTTAAAATACTGCTGCCCCATCCTCCCTTAAATTTGGTTGCTTTGGCAACCTCTTAATCAACAGTAAACATGGGAAATGATATCGTGCATAGGTTATCGTGTTACAACATCTAGTAATAAAAAATGAGATCATTTGGTAAGAAACTTTCTGATCGGGCCACGTAGATGTCAATATGTTTAGAAGAAAATATCTGTTATGATACCGCTATGCATCTAGTTATATAAATAGTGTTATTTTTTATGCAGTGAACCGTCTTAGGTTTGTTTTTGGAGACGTTTTCAGTGGAAGCACTGAAACTGTGAAGTCTGTCGTTGATATTACAATTGCCTACCTGCTTCACTATCCAGATGTACAGACGAAGGTAAAAACATTCCCGTAGTGGGTTTCTAAAATGGTGTTAGCGTTTCATATGACATAACACATATGGTCCCTGATTATTTTTGATTTTAGATACACGAGCAGATAGATGAGGAGATAGGTAGAGACCGTCTTCCTACATTATCTGATAGGGAGAATCTGCGCTACGTGGAGGCCGTTTACTACGAGGTGATGCGCCTAAAGCCACCAGTCCCGCTCTCAGTTCCACATGTATGTACTGAAGACACCACTATCGCAGGATACGACATACCAAGTGGAACAATTGTTATGCCAAACATTTACGCTGCACATCGGGACCCAAACGTTTGGGCGAATCCGGAGAAATTTGACCCGAAGCGGTTCATTGATGAGAACGGACAATTCAAAGATCTTCACAGAATGATAGCGTTTTCTATGGGTGAGTAATGTGAGTTAAGAGAACATTACCCTTAACGGCATTCTCAAGAAACCAAAGTTTCACAAAAATTAAGGCAGCCATTTTGGATTTTCCATGTAGGCCGTCATATTATAACATGGTCCGAATGAGTATAAGTCACGTAATGCAAAATTATTTCAGGTAAACGAGTGTGTCCGGGTGAAGCTGTTGCTAGGATGAAGCTCTTTCTTTTATTCACTGCTCTTCTACAACGGTACAAGTTCTCAGTGCCCCCTGGTGTAGAATTACCTGACCTGAATTGTGAAGTGGGCTTGACACTAACGCTTAAACGTTACAAGGTCTGCATTACTAGAAGATATTGACAAACATTTTATCTATTGTCACTGGACAATTACTATTAGTGGAGTCAGTTAGCACTTCAATTGAACGTTCTTTATATAAAGCACCATTTTTTGACCACAAAGTATCACTTAACATATATTTTTGATATCTACCGAAGTGGTAATTAATCAATCGTCAGACATACACCTCGCTTCAATCAATTATAATCTGGTTAAGTACGGTTAGAGAATTTATTTCTGTTTTTTCAATTAAACTTAAAACAGACCCATGTAATTAAGAGTTTGAATGTTTATTATAAAATTCAACTGTTTATTTAGTAAGTTACGTATAAAGTAAATTATCCTCTCGTTTATAAATTAACAGATTACAATCTGTCTGTAAATCTCTCGTCAGTACCTATACAAGGTGAGTCAAATCATGAGCCAGAAACCGAAAAAAGTTCTATAGAGTGTGTGCCAGAGAGGCAATTATTGCTTCACATAACCTACAGTATCTTAATTTACAAGGTTTCATAGCTTGGACAACTTAGCTTCGACAACTTCACTTATGGTTCTCTCTAAGCAAACATATCATCTAAACCCCAGTTGTTTTCTTTCTAAAATACAATATTTTGGCACATGAAAGTTAATATTAGATCAATCAGAGGGAGAAGAAACACGTTACAGCCAGCTAGAAACTGAATGGAAACTTTCCAGATGACAAAATGGCCTGCCTGCATACAGTTGAAATATGTTTCTTTTTATAAAATTGTTTTGAAATGAGTGAAAAGGATTTAAGCACTGACCTCAATGCTTTATAAAATATATCACTCGTGACTATCCACTTGTGATATATTTTACAAACAAAGTGACAAAGCGTCGAGTTCAGTGCTTAAATCCTTAAGCCTTCCAAAAATAAATAGTGAACTTTTTGCCTAACAAAGATTGAGTTCAAGATAACGTACATGTACATGCTATTGTCTCATACATGTATTTTCTTTAAAAGTACACAAATGGTGCATCCAAATTAGTATATTTGGTAACAACTTTGTTCAAGATAGCGCTGCTCCTATGCAAATAATTTGATTTGATGTTTCTTTAGGAAAGCATCATCAACACTCTTTGAGTTAAAAACAATCCCTTGATTTATCCTTCCCCTGGTAGAATATGATTGATCAAAATCCAGTTACCAAATCAAAAAAGTGGTCACCAAACTGCATGTTTTCATAAATAGCTGACATTTAACACATACTAAAACCCATTAAAGGCCATGTGACAGCTACTTATGGGGTTATTAAGGTCTTTCTCCTATCTGAATATACTAGGCTCTGACACTCAGAATAAATATACTGTTCCAGTAAGTGTCTATTATTGGTAATGTATCACCCTGCTATAGGGTTAGCATGTATGGTGATGTCTCTAATTCTGATTTCATTCAAAGGTCTGTAGCTTTTCTCATTTACTGGCTGTTTTTCTAATTCGTCTAATGTGTCAAAGCCATCAATAACTCTGAAAGAAAAATACATAATTATTAAATTCATTTGGGAATTTATAAGTGTACATAATGCATAAGCAGAGATAACTGCTGTTAAAAATGTCTAATTTCTGTACATTACCTACTCTTTATTAATCTTTGTCTGATACTTTCACTTTTTAATTAGTTTGTATAAAATTGTGAATGTAACTCCCTGTTATTAAGAGGCAAATAAATTATACATACATACATACATATTGCCATTTGCATCTCCAGTCTAGCAATCTGAATATTCAAATTTTAAGTTCATAAAGATGTTTACATAACATTTATTATTTTGATCTAATTTTTCTTCATCGTAATTAAATGAATATATACATTGGTTGGCTAATTGTAAATGTTGTTTCCAATTTTGTCAGTGAGAGATTTGACCTTTTGTAAATAAAATTTACTTACTTTCAAGTTTACTTACTTTCCAAATATGGTGTATTTTAGCTTTATTTACTTCCCGAATATGGTATATTTCAGCTTTACTTACTTCCCAAATATGGTGTATTTTAGCTTTACTAACGTCTTCCCAAATATATATAGTTCATCTTTACATACTTTCCAAATATGGTATATTTCAGCTTTACTTACTTCCCAAATATGGTGTACTTTAGCTTTACTTACTTCCCAAATATGGTGTATTCTAAATTTACTTACTTTCCAAAAATGGTGTATTTCAAATCGAGAGACGTCTGCTTAGCATATGTTATGAAAAACTGAGAGCCATTTTTGTTGGAACCATTATTCGCCATGGAAACTATTCCTCGTTTATCATGCTGAAAAGAGTAGAGAAAATTAAAATAAAATATAGTAACAGATGCTTGAAATGTTCATTGTACTGTTGGTAATTCAAGTAAGTCAAACTAGACAACAGCAATGCCAAAGCGTAGCAAATCCCATCAAACAGCCATGGCTGGCATGTTTTCAAACAAAGTATATAGAAAAAATGGCAGCCATCACCTTCTACCAAAAGTGTCATTTAGACAGTGTGCCATGCTTATAGTATTCACATACCAAATATGAACAAAATTGCTCCACTACTTTTAGAGTTACAGCAAAAATCGTGAAATAACGAGTAAGGATGGACGGACAACTTTGTTCGATGGGATAACAATGACATGAAAATAAGGAACTTATAGTTGTCCAAACTTTAATATTTGATATGCATGTACCTTGTGTGTGGTTGTACTTTAGCTTATGAAATAAATGAATAAAATTCATGTGTAGAATTTTATGTTAAACTTTACATGTATGTTTTAAAGTTAAACTCTTCTATACCTTCACCATAACATACCCCCATTGCACTTTGGATACAGCCAAAGGAAATACCATCTTCTTGCATAGGACTCTTTAAATATGTAGTCCCTAAATCAATTTCTATTTCAAGCTGAGCATGAATCATGTAAGCTCAAGTGTCAAAGGCCAGAATACAAAAAAAGGTATTAAAACTGTTCGTAAAAAGTTTTGGACAAATTATATTTGTTAATGAATTGGCAATAAAACACCACTTTTGTTCTTGAATTTTAAAGTCTACATTACACGGCATATAATCTTTAAGTGTCACTACATAACAGAACTTCACTGACATGCTCCTCCCTTCAAATTGTCATCAAATTCATCATCAAATTTTTTGCCATAGATACTGTCTCCTCCTTTATCAGTGCCTGAAATGTAATATAATATCATGAATAAAATGGCAACACTTCACCAATCATGTGATACACATACATGTATATCGTATTAGAATGTAAAGAGATATCTAATTTCTTGGCAGTACCTTTGGAAAGTTACAAACAGCATACTAACTTTTTAAATGAAAAACATACATTACCCAGCAGTTCTTTGGTCTTAAGTTAATCTTACTTACATAAGAATAGGTCATAAATTGACTTAAATCCAGATATATAAAAACCAGAACAACGGCAACGCCAAAGCGTAGCGAATCCCATCGAACAGAAATGGCTGGCATTTTTACAAACGAAATATATAGCAAACATCATAAAACAACACACCAGAAAGGCCACCATTTTCAAAATGGTTGCTCACTAGCCAAGTTGTCATCAGAAGAAATAATATGCTTTTAAGTAGCCACCTATAAAATCTTTGAAAAATCGCATACATGTACTTGTAAAATAACACACATAAAAATGGTGGCCATTTTTCAAAATGGCTGACTACTCCCCAAAGTTTTATTAGACAATGTGCCATGCTTAAAGTATTCACATATCAAATATGAACAAAATTGCTCCACTACTTTTCGAGTTATAGTAAAAAATGTAAAAATGACAGCCATTTTTATAAAATGGCTGCCTACTATCTGAAGTGTCATGAGACAGTGTGCAAGGCTCATGAGTATTCACCAAATCTGACCAAAATATGACCAAATCGCTTCACTACTTTTCAAGTTATAGTAAAAAACATAAAAATGGTGACCATTTTTCAAAATGGCCACCTACTACCCAAAGTGTCATTAGACAGTGTGCCATGCTTATAGTATTCACATATGAAATATGAAACATACCAAATATGAACAAAATCGCTTCACTACTTTTCCAGTTATAGTAAAATACGTTAAAATGGCGGCCATTTTTCAAATTTTTTTTCAAAATGGCCGCATTCTACCAAAAGTGTCATAGGACAGTGTGCCATGTTTATAGTATTCACATACCAAATATGAACAAAATCGCTTCACTACTTTTCGAGTTATAGTAATATACGTTAAAATGGCGGCCATTTTGAAAAATGGCTGCCTTCTACCAAAAGTGTCTTTAGGCAGTGTGCAATGCTTATAGTATTCACATACCAAATATGAACAAAATCGCTCCGATACTTTTCGAGTTATAGCAAAAATCGTAAAATAACGAGTAAAGGCCGCCATTTTTCAAGATGGCTGCCATGTGCTTCTTTAATGTCTACATTTATAGCTTTATTAATGTCCTTCATAATTTTTTTACATTTAAAACATATTGCTATTACAGTTTTACATATTGCACCTAAATTACTGTAAAATCGGCACTAAAATGGCCGCCATTTTGAATTGAGCGACCATTTTGAAAATCGGCTTTCGAGCAGAACTTCTACCCCCATAGGGTATATGTGTACAAAATATGAACAAAATCGGGCCAACGGTATTTGAGTTATCGCCCGGACGGACGGACGGACGTACGGACGTACCGTACGGACGGACGTACGGACGGACGTACGGAGGCGTTCCCTATATCCCTCCGAACTTCGTTCGATGGGATAATAATTTTAATATGATATGTGACGTCACAACGTCTATATTGGAGTGTATTACATACCTAACAAAGCATTTGTATGGAAGTCAATGGGAAAGTTAGTGGACTATATCCAACGCTATTGCCAGATTACCCCGATATTGCCCCGTTACCACATATAATGTGGCCATGGGAATAAAGGTATGTATGACATCAGTTATGTCACTATGACATGAAATATGCCTTCATTCTTGCCCAAATATATTGGGAGAACTCATACATATTTCATGTCATGTGACATAACCTCTAGATGTATGACCGCTAAATTCATGAATGCAAATAGTTTTGTTTCTTGTCTGTTTATCATAGAATCGTAACAAAGAGCTCGATTTTATGATTAATGATTGTGTGGACAAATTATCATTTAAATGGTAAAATGTTGTTTTTTGATTATTGTGCTTTAATTATCAATTTGCAATTATCATTAATTCCTCAATATGGATCTTTCTATTTTGAACTCAAGTGAGAATCAGATCTTGCGAGAAAGAAAAAATTGTTTCAATTTCAGAAAATTATTCATATCATGTATATTTTCTAAAAATCCAGCAAAAGTGTACTTTATTCCAGGAAAGCTAAAGATTTTTAGAATAATGTATTTTTTTATTTCTATGGTTGCCATTTCTATTATGTGGGAGAATTTAAACACTTTCCCCCATTTATGCACTCTGAATCCTTAATAACTTCACCAAATAACATTTTCAGTCAAGGCATGCTCCCAGTGAAATCAAAAAATGTTCAAAAATACAATTTTCTGGAATCGGGATGGGTGGTATTTTTTGTGTCACCTTGTATTTGATATCATAAGGAATGAATTAGTAGACCAATTGTACATGTAGCTTGCAGTTTTGTTATCCTATATGGATCTGATTCTGCATTTAAACAATCCTAGATGACTGTAGTACTATGTATCATATTGGAAAACCCACTTTACAAAATATTGAATGTTCGTGCCTCCCATAGTCTGATAGTGAAGACCAAGAACATGTATTGAACATTAGTTACCTGTTGGATCTCCTGTTTGGACCATAAATCCCTTGATGTTCCTATGGAAGAGAGATCCATAGTGAAGACCAAGAACATGTATTGAACATTAGTTACCTGTTGGATCTCCTGTTTGGACCATAAATCCCTTGATGTTCCTATGGAAGAAGGATCCATAGTGAAGACCAAGAACATGTATTGAACATTAGTTACCTGTTGGATCTTCTGTTTGGACCATAAATCCCTTGATGTTCCAATGGAAGAAGGATCCATAGTGAAGACCAAGAACATGTATTGAACATTAGTTACCTGTTGAACATTAGTTACCTGTTGGATCTCCTGTTTGGACCATAAATCCCTTGATGTTCCTATGGAAGAGGGATCCATTGTGAAGACCAAGAACATGTATTGAACATTAGTTACCTGTTGGGTCTCCTGTTTGGACCATCAATCCCTTGATGTTCCTATGGAAGAGAGATCCATAGTGAAGACCAAGAACATGTATTGAACATTAGTTACCTGTTGGATCTCCTGTTTGGACCATAAATCCCTTGATGTTCCATTGTTCCTATGGAAGAGGGATCCATAGTGAAGACCAAGAACATGTATTCAACATTAGTTACCCGTTGGATCTCCTGTTTGGACCATAAATCCCTTGATGTTCCTATGAAAGAGGGATCCATAGTGAAGACCAAGAACATGTATTGAACATTAGTTACCTGTTGGATCTCCTGTTTGGGCCATAAATCCCTTGATGTTCCTATGGAAGAGGGATCCATAGTGAAGACCAAGAACATATATTCAACATTAGTTACCTGTTGGATCTCCTGTTTGGACCATAAATCCCTTGATGTTCATATGGAAGAGGGATCCATAGTGAAGACCAAGAACATGTATTCAACATTAGTTACCTGTTGGATCTCCTGTTTGGACCATAAATCCCTTGATGTTCCTATGGAAGAGAGATCCATAGTGAAGACCAAGAACATGTATTGAACATTAGTTACCTGTTGGATCTCCTGTTTGGACCATAAATCCCTTGATGTTCATATGGAAGAGGGATCCATAGTGAAGACCAAGAACATGTATTCAACATTAGTTACCTGTTGGATCTCCTGTTTGGACCATAAATCCCTTGATGTTCCTATGGAAGAGGGATCCATAGTGAAGACCAAGAACATGTATTCAACATTAGTTACCTGTTGGATCTCCTGTTTGGACCATAAATCCCTTGATGTTCCCATGGAAGAGAGATTCATTGTGAAGACCAAGAACATGTATTGAACATTAGTTACCTGTTGGATCTCCTGTTTGGACCATAAATCCCTTGATGTTCCTATGGAAGAGAGATCCATAGTGAAGACCAAGAACATGTATTGAACATTAGTTACCTGTTGGATCTCCTGTTTGGACCATAAATCCCTTGATGTTCCTATGGAAGAGGGATCCATAGTGAAGACCAAGAACATGTATTCAACATTAGTTACCTGTTGGATCTCCTGTTTGGACCATAAATC